AGACCTAACTCGGATGCCACTGTTGGGGAACGTAGCATGCAATTTTTAAAAATTTCCTATGCTCACGCAAGATCTATCTAGGAGATGCATAGCAATGAGAGGGGGAGAGTGTGTCTACGTACCCTCGTAGACCGAAAGCAGAAGCGTTGACAACACGGTTGATGTAGTCGAACTTCTTCTAGTTTCGACCGATCAAGTACCGTACGTACGGCACCACCAAGTTTTGCACACGTTCAGCTCGATGACATTCCTCGCCCTCTTGATCCAGCAATGTGTCAAGGAAGTAGATGAGTTCTGTCAGCACAACGGCATGGTGATGGTGATGGTGAAGTGATCTGCATAGGTCTTCGCCTAAGTACTATGAAGATATGACCGTGGGAGTAAACGATGGAGGGGGCGCCGCACGCGGCTATGCAATAGTCTGAGGTGTGCTAGAGGCGCCCCACACATATATATATAGGTGTTGGGGAGAGGGGAGGCAGCCAAGGAGGCGCCCAAGTAGGCCGAATCCTACTTGGGGCCTTCCTATGGCCGGCGCCCCCCTTCCTTATTTACCGGAGGGGGAAGGAAAGAGGAGGGAGGAGGGAAGGAAGGGGGAGGCCTAATCCCCCCCCCCTTCCTTCTCTCTTCCCCTCTTTCATTCTCATCTAGTGGGACACATATGGGAGGCGCAACAACCCCTGGTGGCTGCCGTGTTTCCCCTCTTGGCCCATAAGGCCCATATCTTTTGTCGGGGGTGCCCGGAACCCCTTCAGGTTACCCAATATGTACCCGGTACCCTCTGGAACACTTCTGGTGCCCGAATAGTATCGTCCTATATATCAATCTTTACCTCTCGACCATTTAGAGACTCCTCGCCATGTCTGTGATCTCATCCGGGACTACGAACAACATTTGGTCACCAAATCACATTACTCATATAATACAATGTCATCATTGAACGTTAAGCGTGCGGACCCTACGGGTTCGAGAACTATGTAGGCATGACCGAGACACCTCTCTGGTAAATAAACAATAGCGGAACCTAGATGCTCATATTGGCTCCCACATATTCTACAAAGATCTTTATCGGTCGAACCGTTATGACAACATACGTTATTCCCTTTATCATCGGTATGTTACTTGCCCGAGATTCGATCGTCGGTATCTTCATACCTAGTTCAATCTCGTTACCGGCAAGTCTCTTTACTCGTTCCGTAATATATCGTCATGCAACTAACTCATTAGTCACTTTGCTTGCAAGGCTTCTTATGATGTGTATTACCGAGAGGGCCCAGAGATACCTCTCTAATATTCGGAGTGACAAATCCTAATATCGATCTATGCCAGCCCAACAAACACCTTTGGAGATACCGGTAGAGCATCTTTATAATCACCCAGTTAAGTTGTGACGTTTGATAACACACAAGGCATTCCTCCGGTATTCGGGAGATGCATAATCTCATAGTGGAAGGAATATGTTTTTGATATGAAGAAAACAATAGCAATAAAACTGAACGATCAATATGCTATGCTAACGGATGGGTCTTATCCATCACATCATTCTCCTAATGATGTGATCCCGTTCATCAAATGACAACGCATGTCTATGGTTAGGAAACTTAACCATCTTTGATTAACAAGCTAGTCTAATAAAGGCTTACTAGGAACACGGTGTTTTGTCTATGTATCCACACATGTATCAAGTTTCCGGTTAATACAATTATAGCATGAATAATAAACATTTATCATGATATAAGAAAATATAAAATAACAACTTTATTATTGCCTCTAGGGCATATATCCTTCAATTCCCACTCCCCTACCCACATCAGTTAACCATCTTCCTCGCCTCAGGCTCCGTCTCCGGTGAGGTCTTGGCTCGGCCTCGCCTGGGTCAGTGCTCCTTATTGAGTCCCATGTCTTCGCCCCCGTTCAGAATCGGCTGATGTGAGCAAAATTTTCTCGCACGTGAGGTTAAGGAAACACGTTTATTGCTAATGAACGGGGATAGTAGCTTTTACAATTTGATCCCCCTTAGTTTGCATGTTAGCAAGGCATTGGCTGCACAACAGCCATGATGGTTTTCTGTAACTAGATGATACCCCGCCCGTTGCGGCGCTGATTGGTTGCAATATTTTTTGATCTAATTTAAATAAAAAATAAATATATTATATTATATTTGATTATGATATAGATGCAAATCCATATCTATACATACTATTGAAGGGAATGTGTTATTCTTGGTCTGTCAAGCGTGTTTGTAAAAAGGCCCCTAATGATACCATAATTAGCATATGATTCAAACATGTGTATTTTATTAGCAACAAACTACGCTAGCACATGTGCGTGTGTAGCATCCACTTCATTTGAAACCTGCGTTTTGGCTGCCCAGACTGTAGAATTGGGCCTAGCGTAATATTGGACTTGTGCAGGGCCACACAGCAGCAATCACAATCAGCCTTTTCATGTTTATTCACATACTATTAAGGGCCTCTTCGGCTTCCCTCCTCTCCACAACTCCGCTCCCGGAGCTGGAGGAGCGGCAGTACAAAACCGCGGAGTGGGGAAGGAGAAGCTCCACAGATCCTCTGATTTCACGGAGCGGGAGGTTTATCGAACAGCCCCTAAATAGTCCCACATCAAGTTTTTTTAGATGACCGACGTCGGCTAGCTCTGCGGATATAGAATCATTAAAAGAACGGAAAAACTAACGTCCACACGTTTGGCGTTTGCACATCGCCCACACACCTTCATCACCACTCATTTTGCCACGTATGAATAGATGACAGCAGCAGAAATCTTTTTGGTTTTCGGCTTAAAAACGTTTTATCTCCTAATTAAAAAAGCGATAAAAATCCGTTTTCACCATTAAATCCGTCTCGAAGAGATCTTCAAAACTAGACCCCATGTTGATATGTTCCGACGAAATTTTTTTTGCCCAGAAGTTGCCATGATGTTTACACTATAGTTGCCATAGTGCTTAAACTAAAGTTGCCATGTGGCAGTTTTAGTTTGTAGGTCATGGCAATTTTAGTTTTTTGATGATGGCAATTTCAGTACTTTAACCATGAAAATAATTTTTTGTATGAACCATGGCAATTTTAAGTGCATGTATTATGGCAATTTTAGTTTATGATGCATGGCAAGTCTAGTTTTTTAATTTTGATTTATGCCAACTAATGCTACAATTTTAAGTGCATGTATCATTTGCTACTCCCTCCGTCCCATAATATATGATGTTTTTTAAGGTGAAACAACTTGCAAAAACATCTTATATTATAGGATGCAGAGAATAGCATATGTATAGAATATAAGTAGTATTTTGAATGCATGTTGAGAGAAATATATTTTTCTAAAAAGGAGGATGACCCCCGGCCTCTGCATCAATCGATGTGCACAACCATCTTTGTTATTATATTCAACAGAATCTGACAACACGAACCAACAAGTGGTTGGATGGTTAAAGGGACAGAGGTATTCCCAGCCCACCAGGGTTCAAGTCCAAGTGCTCACATTATTAATGATTTATTTCAGGATTTCCGGTGATGCACTTTCAGTGGGAGGAGACGTTATGCATGTATGCATGAGCGCTTGCGTCTGTACTGTGTTAAAAAAAGAGAATCTGACAACATGAATACATGGATCAACTCGAAGCCACCCGGGCTGAGAGCACCACATGGTCTGGCCGACCCAGCGACAGATAGCACCACCGCCTTGCGCTAGTCCATCAAGACGCATCCGCCGCCGAGACTCCACTGTACCATGCCACCAAGAGCCGTCATCGTCGACGCGCAAAGCGGCGCCTTCAAGAAGGGAACGATGCCCGAAGACGCCATTGCCGTCCACCGCAGTTAGGGCTTTCACCCGGGAGACAAATGGTGTGGTGGAAGTAGAAGAAGATCTGACGAGCGTCTCCATGGAGAAGAAAATGGCGCCCTCGGTTGTCGCAGCCGCCGCGGCCAAAAGGCCGTCTAGGGATTTCTCCCGTTCTGAATCCCTCGTCCAGCTCCAACCGCATCAAGGATCAGCAAGTCGGCTCAGATCCGCACAGACAAGCACGCCGAGCAGGGGACGAAGGCTTGTAGGCATCCCGCGATCTAGATTAGGCACCTCAGGGCGTAACCGACTGCCGGGCACCCACAGTGTCCCGAACGGCCAGAAGGATCTGGCCCGCTGACCCATGTGGTGGCGCGGAGCTCCTCTGGATGGCCGGATGGATCATGCAGATCTGATCCAGGCGCCCACCATCGAGCGCAACAACATGCTCCTAGTCTCCACCTTCCTTGACCGCGCCCTGGGCTAGCCTGGCGCCATCCTCTAGCGGCGGCGATGAAGGAGAGGGAAGCGGAGAAGCCTAGGGTCAACGGTTCTGCCTCAGGTGAGAGAAATACATGGTTGTGTGCATCTTGTGATGCAATTAGTGTGATTGGATGGCGTGTGGTGAGTTGGGATGTGTGCATATTAAAATTTTCATGTATGTTAAGAGAAATAATTAGTGGATGATGAGGTGACATGTGTGGTGAGGTGGCATGTGTGCATGTTGACATTTTCATATATGTTAAGAGAAATAATTAGTGAATGATGATGTGACATATGTGATGAGGTAGCATGTGTGCATGTTAATAGAATTGAAATAGTGAAGATGAACTATTTAGGTGTTGTATATAGGAATTCTTTTTGTGAAATTAATGTGGAAATCACGTGGACAGTCTTGTGCGGAAAATGCAGAATTAATACGTGGATAGTCTCGTGGATACGTTATTATGTTTACACGTTTCAGGAGCATCGGGTAGATTGGGAAAACAGGCACGATTATTACATTTACACATTTCAGGGACATCGAGTAGACTGGGAAAACATGCACGTTTATTACATTTACACATTTCAGGGGACATCGAGTAGAGTCGGAAAACAGACACGATTATCACATTTACATATTTCGGGGACATCGAGTAGATTGAGGAAACATGCACGATTATTGATTACACATTTCGACAGGCAACACGGCGTCCCTTGCCCTATTGCAGTCGGAGCAAGTGCTCAACTAGCTCGTCGACGTACTTGTCCTGCTTCGCCCTGTTGCAGAGAATCTCTTGGAACGCCCTGGCATTGCGGGCGAGCGCCTTCCCTTCCTCGCCCTCCGCCATCACCCGCCGCACCGTCCTGGCAACGTCGACCCCGGCGAACGACCCGTCGCGCTCGTCCCTGGGCACCTCCAGGCCGACCGCCCTCGCCGCCATGGCTCGCGCCGTGACGCATTGGTCGGCGAACAGAGGTAGCATCACGAGCGGGTGGCCGAACAGGAAGCTCTCCATGAGCGAGCTCCACCCAGTGTGCGTCAGGAACGCACCCACGGCGCCGTGCGCGAGGACGCGCACCTGCGGCACCCACCCCACGCGCACGAGGCCGCGCCCGGACACGCGCTCCTCGAACCCGTCGGGGATCAGGAGGCCGCTCGGTTCCCGCAGCGCCCAGAGAAACCGAGCGCCCGACAGCTCCAGCCCGACTGCGAGCTGGCGGACCTGCTCGGGGGTCAGCGGTGCCTCGCTCCCGAACGCGACGTAGATCACGGACCTCGCCGGCTGCTCGTCCAGCCAGCGCATGAGACTCGCGCTCGCCTTGTCCTCATCCTCGCCGCCGCCGGCACGGTCGGCAACAGCTTCTTGGGCGGCGTCGTATGGAGCGAGGAGGCCGGACGGGGCCACAGGCTTGCCGAAGAGGTCAGTGAGGAGGGGGCAGAGCGGGCCGTCGACCTCGCGGCAGCTGCGCACGATGACGAGCGGGCAGTGCTGCTCCGTCTCCCAGAAGCGGCAGCAGTCGGACGGGCCGGCGGCGTTGGGGCGTAAATGCAGCTGGACGAACTGCTTGGCCTCGTGGAGACGGTGGACGATGTGGGTTGGGAACGGGATCCACGGCGGCTGGTCCGTGAAGTCCTCCGCCGTCCTCCGCGGGTGCTCGTCGTTCACCGTCTTGGGGCCGAGGAAGGCGATGAACGCTGCCGGGAAGATGGAGAACAACGCGCACGGTACCTGCACGCGCAGCGCACACAAACCTCTTGTAGACAGACTCGTAGGCAGTATGCAGCATTAAATAATGGGCGATGCTAGGCGCCGGTGCGCCGGCCGAACGTTTCGGCCGGTCGCACGTTTCGGCCGGTCGCACCCTAGCCGTCAGATCGGCCCGTCCCGAGCTGTTGGATCCTTATCCAATTAGATCGTCGTCTTCCTCTCACGAGCCCGTAACGAGCGTCGTCTTCTTCTCGCGAACCCCATCTCGCCGGCTGCCCGTGTTCCCCCTCGTCGCCGCCCCTCCCTCGCCTGCCCTCCTCGTCCCGATCGCCGTCCTCGCCGGCCGTCTTTCCCGGCCGCCCTGGTCGCCGGTAATCCTCGGCGGCCGTCCTCTTCACCGGCTTCGCCCCCATGCAATAGCCCATCCCTGCGATTGTAGCTTCCATGGCCACCGTTGCAGCTCTGGTGGCGACGACCAGAGCTCACCGGCGTGCTCACCTGTGTGCTCGCCGGCGCTCATCCCCCACTTGCGAACAAAAAAGATCGAGCGCCCAGGGAGATGCTCAGTGCTGCAACCTACGGCGAAAAAAGCTACAACTAGCGATAGGAAAAGCTTCAACCGGCTACGAAAAAAGCTTCAACCAGTATACGACTGGAGCTATGGATGACCAAGAAAAGTTACAAGAAAAGTTACAACCGGTGACAGAGAAAGCTTCATCTAGCGATGAAAAAAAGCTTCATCAGACTATAAAAAAAGTTTCAACCGTGGAAACAAAAGCCCTGGACGAAAAGTTACAACCGGTGACAGAAAAAGCTTCATCTAGCGATGAAAAAAGCTTCATCCGACTATAAAAAAGTTTCAACCGTGGAAAGGAAGCCATGGACGAAAAATGAAAAGTTGCAACCGACAGTTATAAAAGTTACAACCGCATTGAAAAAAGCTTCAAACTCCTTATCTCAGTTGCGACCCCGCGATGACGATGACGCCGTTTTGCTGCAACCGTAGTAATTTTTGCTACCACCGGCGATTGAATTTGCTACAACCGGTTTCATCAAAAAATCGCCGTGGGGTGTAGTCTGCCATGGCTCCGGCGAGGTAGGCAGAGCTCCGATGCATGTGAGGTAGGCGTCGCCGTGGTAGCACCCCGTCGCCCCGGTTGCAGCATCTCCCGTGGTCACCGCCCCTCGGTCGCCGGCGAGATGGAATGGTCACCGTGCAGATCCATGGCAGCTTCGAGCGGGGAAGGAAGGCGTGGTGCTGCGACCGCGGGGGGAGGGGGGGAGGAAGGGATGGGGAAGGGTGGGGAGGAAGGAGCAGAAGAAGAGGGCGGCGCGCGCCCCGGCGAGCGGCGCGAGATGTGGGGGAGCTGCGATGAAGGAGACGTGGGGAAGAGGGAGACCGGCCCAATGTTCCTCCGGTGCCCCGGCTCCAAACGTTTTCCTTAAATAATGGAGCGCGTACTTTCTTTATAAAAAAATGGAGTGCCTACGTACCTTGTGCTGCTCAGCAATGGGCGGGAGCCAGTGGTGTGTGAAGTCAACGAAGATCCAATCGGGCTTCTTGCCGAATCCCGTCGCACCCTCCCCGCCGGCGCAGGCTCCGGCAAGAAATCCGGCGAAAGGGGCGGCGAGGCCGTCGAAAGCCACCTTGAGGAGGTCGACCTTCTCCGGCGGGACGTCGGCCGTCGACTCGGCGCCGTAAGGAAGGCCGTCGACGCTGGGCAGGGGCAGGGGGAGGAGGCGGACGCGGGGCCGGAGGTCCTCCGGGACGGGCCTCAGCCTGGCGAGGTTCCTCGGCGCGGACACGAAGGTGACGGCGTGCCCGCGCCTCGCCAGCTGCTCCGAGAGCTCGAGGTAGGGGATCATATGGCCGAACGCGAGCCATGGGAACACGACGACGTGGAGTGATGAAGAAGACCTTGCGGTGGCTTCCATGGCTTTTGCCATAACCAGCTCTCACTTCTTGGAACTAAAAAGTATACTTCCAACAAGCTAGGTCGCCGATTGTGGGCGCTTTCTCCTGCTCTGACCGCCGGCGAGAGAGATGAGACAGACAAGAAAATGTCGATCCAGATCAGACGGGGAGAGAGGGGATGCAACGACTTTGCTAATATATACTACTATGTTACTTTTCAAAGAGGAGGGTAGCACCCTCTGCATCAACGGGCGCTGCTATATGTCGCTCGCTGCGAGCAACAAGCCGCTGCATCGCTCACGCGCTTCCTACATGAGACATGCAGCACGAGGCTGGTCCAGCGCGCAACAACACGCGCGAGTCTCCCAGCACGCCTTTTTCTTTTCTTTCGATTCTTTTTTACTTCGGGTGGTCTGTTTTTTAATTTTAAAAAATGTCCGTCAATTTAAAATATGTCCATGAAATTTGTGAAAATGTTCATCAATTCAATAAATCTTCTTGAATTTAAAAAATGTTTGCGGATTCAAAGAATGTCCGTGAATTCAGATAAATGTTCACCAATTTGAAATATGTTAGTAATGAAGTTGAAAAAATGTTCACGGATTAAGAATATCTTCCTGAATTTAAAAAAAAAATCCTGAATTCAAAAATTGTTTGTGGATTTTAAAACTGTTCGTGAATTAAAAAGTAAAAAACAAAAACAAAATAAAAATTAAAAGTAAAAGAAGTGAGAACAAATAGAAAGAAAAGGAAAGAAAGATAAACATTTTCTAGAACCTTCCCAAAACTGGGCAGAAGGTTCCGAAAGCTTCCCAAAACCGGCATCCCCGACTCCCGTTACTAATGGGTCGATCCGATCGACACAATATAGGCAGTACCCCCTCAACGCTGTTCGTAAGCGATATATATCTTTTGCGCTACATCAACCTATATACATAGCAAAATCAAGGAATTAATTGTGTGCAACTTTTTCGGTCTAGGCTTTACGAAATTTAACTATAAAAACTTTTATGAGGATACACCAGGGAGAGGTGTATGAGTGACATAGAAAAGAGCAAAAGGAACTACAATTCTTCCATCTCTTTCCTCCTCTACGAGAAAAGCTCGTCTCCTTCCGTCGGCGCCATCGCCGGTCTGTCCCATCTTCCATGGCCTCCACACCATGGAGGTGCGGAGGATCTCGGCCCCCTGCCGGCGGGAGGGACCCCGTTCTCGTTCTTGTTAGATTCAGCGTCTTGGTTGGGGCTGTGCGGCGGCGGCGATGTTCCTTAGTAGGAATAATGTCTCACACGTTCTATCCACGTCCGGATGGTGCGTCTGGCATCGTTAGAGGGCGTGTGGAAGTTTGTCTCCGTTGGATCTCGAGGGATTCGGTCGGTGCCAGTCTTCGGTGGATCTGTTTGGATCCGGTCTCCATTCGTCTTCGTTTGGGTGTTTACAGGTTTGACTTTTTCTGATCTACGACTTTCTTCATCAACGATGGTTGTTACTCTGGTGCGCTGGTCCTTGGGGCCTTAGCATGAAGACTTCCCGACTGTCTACTATAACAAGGTTTGCCCGGCTCCGGTGAGGGAGAGGCGATAATGGTGGGGCGCCTTTGGCTCGCGCCAGTGCTTGTAGTCGTCGCTAGGTATTCTATGGACATGATTGTAATATTTATTACCTCTGTTGTTCTTTTTATTTCCATGATTGAAGATGAATAGATTGGAAATTTCTTAAAAAAAGAGAGCAAAGATGGCTAATACTACCTCTATAAACTTTTATAAGATGTTTTAGGTCGGAGTACATCACATTTTGGCACACAACATGTAACGAAAGAGGTTAGCAACCACACCCGCACAAATACAATGACACACAACTCTTCTTGTCCAACTCAAGCCACAAATGGTGAAAGGATAGAACAAAGAGCACTAACGTGGCATCTCAACCATTGCGAAACATATCGGAAGCACAACCAAAACTTAAAGTCATATTGGCCCAACATATTGTACAGTCTTTTTGCCTAGAGACTGGCAAGTGAATAGCAGGACTGACCATACCCGAGGAAGAAGATGTTCAAGAGGCGTCTATGACGATGTACATAGTGCCCTGCATGCCCATGCCCACAACAACAACTAGCCCTACAACACACCGCCCCAAGCCTCGCCACTAAGACCAACGAGGCATTCAACACAAACTTTCGCTCTGATAGGCACCACGATGCACTAAAGCAATGCTTCCAAGGGACGATACTTCCACCACCAGGACCACTAAACCTGGCATAGGATTACCGTTGGTGCCTGAAGGGACGGTCAAGGCCATGATATCGCCTCAAAGAAGGAGAAGGCGCACACCTAGTCGTCAAGAAATAAGAAAATTAAAAGAAAATGAAATAATGAAAACACATAAATGAAAAGAAATAATTGAATTAATACACAGAAAAAAATAAAAAATGAGGAAAAATGATGTGGACATAGCTATCATAGAAACATCTACAAATATTACACCACAAATTATTAACCAGGTACTTTCGTTCCTTTGGACATATTATTTAACTCATAGAAATATTATATTACACTCATGTTATGATTTACTTGTACTCAGAAAGAAAAGAATGAAAGAAGCCAGGGACTATTGTGTTTCAAAACCAGATGAAGCAATTCTTGATGCATGCATGCGCTCCATCCTCCTTGCATGCATGCATGGCCACCGAAGCATCCACTCCATACCATCCATCAAAGATGTCACGTGGAGTGCAAGAGGACCGAATCCACTGATCAGTATCAGCCACGTGGGCCATGGCACTTTGGGCTGCCCCAAGTCTCCTCACGCGCCAATTCTCAAGAAGGCCTGCGGCTTGGCCTGCCAAGCGACCCGTGGACAATTTCCTTCGACCAGCAGTCCGGATGGAACACGTCTACGTACTCGTTCGGCGCCGACTATTAATAAATAGACGTCATCTATTAGGGTTTAGACTCGGATTTTGTTTAGAGAAGTTTAGCTATTGCTACTTTTATTTGTCTTCGCTCGTCGCGGCTAGTGCGACCGTCAAGACATCTATCAGAACCCCAACTTGTGAGATTTATTCATCTAGCATATCCGCAATTTTAGATTGCTTGGCTATTATTTTCTTGCATGTTCTTCGATTTGCTTGCAGGAAAAATCCTTCTTGGATAGGTCGATTGCGCCGTTGGCTCGGTCGATAACATCGTGGAGTTGGTTCAGCGATTGCCGTGGATATCAGTCGTGTACGGTTCTCCCTGTACGGCTGGTAGCCGGATCGTGAGGGTCAAGTCCCACCCAAAATCGTAGTTATCTCTCTCATCGAAAGATCGGGGCCCAGCTTACATCAAAAAAAGTAAAAAGAAAAGAAAGTAAATTAGAAAAGAACTTTGCCGAGCGTTTTTCTAGGACACTGGGCAACGATGCCCATTTGCCGAGTATTTTTATTTTGTGTAGTGTCAAGTTTTTTCAAATCTTGACTTTACCTAGTGTCAAGTTTTTACAAGAGTATTTTCGAAAACACTCAGCAAGGGCTATGTTTCCCGTGCACCTGTAAAAACACACAACCCTCACCAAACACCCCGGCCCACGGCAAATAAGCATCTTTGGATCACATCAGACGGTATCGTAGTACATTATTTTAACAGGAAACAAAAATGTAACACAGACGAGATTAGCTAGGCCTAACATTGAAGGCAAATATTATTTTTTTGCAAACAACTAGTACTACTACAATGGTACTACGTTTGCCATTAGTTATTCATTTGTCAGTGGCAGAAGCCCAATGCCACCATTTTGTCAGTGGCATGCACGTCGGAAGCTCAAATCAAAACCCGTCGAGGTCGAGGAACTCGTCCGTGTCAATAAACGGCCCATCCAGCGGCACATCCTGCTGTCCTCCCTGCCTCTGCATGCCGGCGACGCGGTCGCCGCCTGCTCGCAGCGGCGAATGCGGCGGAGGAAGAGGAACGGAACGAGGAGCCTGCTGCGCGCCGTGCGCGACGACGATGGCGAGCTGCGCCCTGGTCCTGGCGAGCTCGCATTGCGTGGCGAGGATCTCCTCCTGCAGCCGGTTGATGACGCCGGCGCAGCCGTACACCGGGTCCCCCACCCGCCACTGCGCCTCCATCGCCATCGTCTCCGCCGCCTGCGCTCTCTCCTCCACGGGCAAGCTCTGCGCGCGAAATGGGAACTCAATGTGAGTCTTCAACCATGCAATCGGGAGCTCGAACTTACAGCCGGCTGTTGGTTTTCAGTTACCTGGAGCAGCCTGGCGACGTTGCTGGCGCCGAAGACCCGGTGGACGTTGGCGTAGCGGCGGGGGCGGGACGCCGGGAAGTAGGGGGCGAGCGCGCAGCCGTGGCCGCACCGCCGGCGCAGGTACTTGCACGCCGCGCAGCGCCTCGGGTTGCCGCCGCCGCCTTCCTCCTCCTCCTCCTCCTCCTGCAACTCCTCCGGCTCCACCTCGTTGCCGGCCGTGGACATGGTGATCGATCTAGCGATGGATCTTCGTGTGAGTTCGTGGGATCGCGTGGATCTTTCGAAAGATTTCTGGGAGATCTTGTGTGCGCATGCTTATATACACAAATGGATGCAACATGCATGGATGGGGAGCTGGGAATGGCAACACCAACGGCTACGTCGGTGCAAACATGGCAAGCTTAACGGCATTGTTGTTGCTAATTGTACCATGAGGCCCACTAATTAAGGAGCGCACGGCAGCCGCCGTTTCCTACTTTTCTCTCCCCGGGCAGCACCGTCGCCGTGCGCCGTGCGGCGCCCACTTACATTACGGTAGTTTGTACAGTGACATTGTTGGACCAAATGTATTCCGATGATTGTCGTACGTAGACATGTAGATTATAGAAGTAGTTGATTTAGTATTACCGCTGCATACTCTTGCATGTGTATGTGTGTTAGCTGTATTCGTACAGGAAGGAGTATGATATAAGATTAATCATACAAGTCTGTACCCGTTTTTTTTTTTGGAAAAACACCCCATATATTAATTAAGCCAAAGAAAAGTTCATACAATCATTCGTTACAACATACACCACGCAGGGCGGAACAGAACTAAAAAGAATCCCATTGGACCTAGTACTAAAGCTAAACTTAGCAATCTCATGTGCCACCCCATTGGTAGTCCGACTTATCTTTGAAATATTAAAATTATGCATCATCCTAGATATACTGAGAGCCTCATCCATCAGATCAGCCAGAGGGGACTAGTCAAGCTTCTTATTTGCAAGAAACAAATGTACGAAAGCACAGCCAGTCTCTAAAATAATAATAGATTGATGAAGGGTGATACCTATATAAAGTCCTACGAGGCAGGCGCAGAGTTCAGCTTCATCCACACCGGTACACCGATTAATAAAGTCCCACGTGAAAACAATAATATCTCCAGATGAATTACGAGCTACAACCCCCACCCTGGTTGCATTAGTACTCTCCTCAAAACTGGCATCAACATTGATCTTGATATGATCATTAGGGGGAGGAGTCCACACCACATGATCTTTTAACGGTGCATAATCCGCTACAACTCCGCTCATCTTCTCCTTACCTTTGTTGCTAGCGTCCAGTTGAGCGGTGTCATGACTAGAAGTGAAAGTGGTTCAAAAATTGTCCACAAAATGTGCAGAGGCATTAACGGATTCTTTTCCATTTCCAAAAATTAAATCATTTCTCAAATGCCATGCTCGCAAGAAAAGAAACAGGATTTGCTTCCTCTGCCGCAAACCCAATTGCGCCAGCAAAATCAATAACCAATCTGGTCCCGTGCACTTGAAGAACTCTTCATCTGAAATATTCCACCGCTCTCTCACGGCCATTCGAAGAGCACGAGCTTTAAAACAACTCACCAGACCATGAAAGATGTCTTCACCTTCAACCCCACAAATAGAACACATACATGAATCATTTTGATGGTGCTTAAATCTATTCATCTGGACCGACAAGCTATTGGTAGCAGCTCGCCACGCAAAAATCTTGATTTTCTGAGGTATATTAGCCTTCCATATTATCTCCCAAATCCCTCTTTCCCCCTCTGGTTCGCCACTAGATTGGCCAACAGGATCCTGGCTATCCTTCAAATTAAGCGCAAAAATGTATGCACTTTTAACTGAAAATATATCATTCTTCTCGTGGTGCCACGCAACAAAATACCCATCCCTATAGACCTGAATGCGAATCTTAAGAATTTCCTCCGCATCATGTGGATAGAATAGCTACTTGATCAAATTTTCATCCCAACACTTACGACCGCTCATGAATAAATCAGATACCAATTTCAACCTGGTATTATGCCTTCTAGCTGAGATTTTTAGGCCATGACTCCTAGGTATCCAACTATCCCTCCATATATTAATACTAGATCCATCACATACCCGCCAAATGATCCACTTCTTAAGAAGTTACAGGCCATGTGAAATACTTTGCCAAGTCACAAAACTAGCATGCGGAAACACTGTATCAAGAATATGTCCCTGGGGGTAATACTTTGCCTTCATCAACTTCGCACATAGAGAATTTGGGTAAACCAACAACCGCCATGCCTGTTTGGCCAAAAGAGCTTGATTAAAAAGCCTGAGATCACGGAAACCCATCCAAGCCTTACCTTTTGGTCTTGTTATAGTTTGTCCCACGCCAACCAATGAGTTTTTCTTCTTTCTTCTTCATCTCCCCATCAAAAGGTCCTTACAATATGGGATAACTCCTCACAAAGGGAAACCGGAAATTTGAAAATCCCCATACCGTACACAGGTAGAGCCTGAATTACTGTTTTGATTAAATCTTCCTTGACTCCACAAGAAGCATATTTTTCAATCCAGTCAGAAAACCTTTTCAAAAACTTATTTTTAGTATACTGAAACATACCGGCCTTCATTCTACCCTCTGGAACTGGTAATCCAAGATATTTATCCTCAAACCCCTCCACAGTAATTTTTAAGATAACCATAATAGTCACTTGTTTCTCCAAGCTGCATTTTTTTCCAAACATTATGGAACACTTATCAGGGCTAAACATCTGTCCAGTTCCCTTCTCATACACCGTCAGAATATTTTTAATTGCTAAAGCCTGATCAAAAGAACCCTTGAAAGATAGCAGACTATCATATGCAAATAATAAGTGAGAAATACCATGCGCTCGTCTAGTCAGTCTGAATTCCTGGAGAACTCCCCTGGCACATGCGTCATTAAGCAACAAAGAAAGCGTCTTAGCCACAAATAAGAACAAATAGGGAGATAAAGGATCTCCCTTCCCGAGCCCCTGAGAAGGTGAGAACGACTGCAGCAATTGACCACTAAAGCCCACCGCAAATTTCACCGAAGTAACACATGTCATAACCCATTTAATCGATTGCGGCACAAAACCCAACGCACCCATCATACTTTGCAAAAATTGCCAATCCACACGGTCATAGGCTTTGGCTAGGTCCAACTTATAAGCACATTATTCCCCTCTTAAATCCTTAAGCGTACTTAACGAATGCATAGATTCAAAGGCTATAAGAGCATTATCAGAAATTAACCTTCCCGGAATAAACACACTTTGGGTAGGGGAAATCATACCATCGAGGAGCGGTCGCAACCTGTTAACAAGACACTTGGAAATAATTTTGTAGATAACATTGCACAAACTGATCGGCCTGAAATCTTTGATTGTTTGGGGATTCTTGATCTTTGGAATGAGAACAATAGTTGTATTATTAATACCATCAGGCATAATTCCAGAAATAAAAAATTGTTGCACAGCCTTGACAGTATCATCTTTGATTACACCCCAATTCCGCTGAAAAAACCTCACAGGAAAGCCATCCGGCCCTGGCGCTTTTAACGGTCCCATTTGAAAAAGGGCATCACTTATTTCTTTTTCCGTAAAAGGTTTGCATAAATCATCATTCATGTCATCAATCACACGGGGCTTGACTAATGAAATAATGTGGGATGGATCGACTGAAGCATCACAAGAATAAAGTTGTTTAAAAACGAGGTTCTGATACCTTTCATTTCCTCCAAATTCTCCGTGAGACAACCATCATCCTTCCTAAGAGCCGAAATAGATATTTTTTTTGCTCTCCAGGAAGTTTTTCGCTGAAAATATTTTGTATTACGATCTCCCCCTTTAATCTTGTCCAGACGAGATCTCTGCTTCCACAATATTTCTTCCCTGATAAGAAGTTCATCCATCTCCCCTAGAATTTTCTTTCTTTCCAACATAGCAGAATGATCAGTTCTATTTAACAAAATGTCTAGTCCCTTACGAGCCCATTCAAGTTTCTTAGGCAGATACCCTATATGCATCCGACTCCATCCATGAAGAGATTTCATTAATTTTTCTAAATTATTGGCAACATCTTTCAGATCCTTTATCTTTGATCCTTTATTCCAACAATCATTAATATGTTCATCCAAAACACGACCTTCCCTCTCCTAGTAAGATTCATATTTCAACTCTCTAGCAAACCTCCCCTCTCTAGCAGTACCCATCAACTCAATTCAAATGGGGCAATGATCAGCTCTGGAGCTAATAATAGAAGACCGAAGAGGGCATGCCACTGCACGGTCAAGACGTACCTTAACATTCTTGTTGCCCTCTTGCATATCATTATATGTCCACGGAGCACCTTGAAAGCCCAAATCAAATAAATTGCACTCCGACAGAACATCACGAAAGTCAGCCATGAGTCTAGGAGATCTCTTATGTTGAGAGAAATGTTCATTTTGCCACATAGCTTCGTTAAAACCCCCCACCATAAACCAAGGTCCAACACCAAGAGATTTAATCCGCCTCAAAAGATCCCACATAACATACCTCTGGCTCGCCTTAGGCTCTCGGTAAATAAATGTGCACCTCCACTTTGTACCATCACCCTTGTTGACGTACATGTCCACAAAATGTTCACTATATTGGTTCAGCTCACAAGAATATGCTCCATCCCAAAATATGACTAGACCTCCACCTTTACCATGGCCAGAAACAGTAAACACATTATTCGTACCCAACTGGTACCGCAAAAGCTCAACATACTCTTTATTTTTCCTAGTTTCTGAAAGAAAGATAACATCGGCACGGTGCGTCTTAGTCAGACACACAATCTCCTGAACCGTACGAGGTTGTCCCAGCCCTCGACAGTTTCAACCGTTTCTTGGGTTCTGCTTGAAGTTATGGAGATTGCCATTTACGCAATAATGGGTCAATTACATGACTCGGTTCAATTTTTTTTAAAACATGACTCGGTTTGAGGCGACCATCGAAAACTTTCATGATGTCACACGATCAAGACTGAAAAATATAGCAAGGGGTCAGGTTTCTACTTTCTACACAGTTCTTGTTTATGCTAGTAATAATTTTGTTTTTTTTCTGAAGTGATTCTAGCTTCAGTCGATTAGCTTTATGATATCAAGATCATGTCACATTTATATTATCAACTTGTCTAGATAGTGGAAGAAATATATATATATGGTAGGGAATTAGGGAT